CTTTTCAGGTCACTGACTCCGTCTGCTGAAGAGGGTCTGTGCCTCTCCCAGCACACAGGCCTGGATTCAGCAGAGTATTAAGAGCTGGATCTGGGTTACAAACCTGAGGTTTTGCTGAATCTGGGCCACGACTGGTGTTCAGGAGGTGGGAGCTGCCCATGCCTGGGATGCTGCCCCTCTGGAATAGCACTGTTTAATTCCTTTCACAGATCAAGCAATTTTCTTTGATTTAGGAAAAAATACAAACCCTTGTTTGCCTGTTACATGACAAGAAACCTTGTTGTTTTTCCCCCTGACTGAAGCTGAACAGCTTCTTTAACCTTCATTTACAGAAGCTGGCTCCGTGCTCCAATTCAGTGCACCAGTCTGAGTGACTTCTAATTCCCAGAGGCTCAAGGTTATCCTTATTCCAGTTTTGAATCAGATGGGGAGTGACCTCACCTTGCAACCAGCCACAACAGGACTGGAGAATCCCAGGGTTTGGAATTCTCTCCATCCCCTTCCAAATATTGGTGTTTCTGAAAGCAAAACACACACTGTTTCTGTCCTCAATATCCAGACTCCAATTTAGCTTATAAATTGCCTGGGAACATCAGGAGTGGGTTGTGTTTGGAGAGATGGGAATGGATAATAGTGTTTTGGTGTAGGTTTTCAGACATCTTTTTAGTATTGTTACTGTGGCTTGGCCTTTTCTCCGAGGTAACAAGTGACAGGACGAGGGGAAATGGCCTCAAGTTGCCCCAGGAGAGGTTCAGATTGGATATGAGGAAAAATTTCTTCACTGAGGGAGTGGTGAAGCATTGGAACAGGCTGCCCAGGGAGGTGGTGGGGTCACCATCCCTGGAAATGTTCAAAAATTGAGTCGATGTGGCACTTCTTGATATGGTTGGTGGGCATGGTGGTGTCAGTCAAAGGTTGCACTTGATGATCTTGGAGGTCTTTACCAACCTTAATGATTCTACTAAGACTCATGAAGCACCTCCTGACCACATCTTTGATGGATATAGATCTTCTTGTATGTGTGCATTAGGAAAAATATCTTCACCTTAGGAAAAAGAGGTTTTGTTGAACCCTAGGAAACTTTCTGTGGCTTTTTTTCTACCATTTTTTTTTTTCTTGTGTTGATGAGTGGAATTTGAGTTTATATTAAACCTTTGTGCTCAGCTTTTGCTGGGTCAAGTATTTTTAGACTTGACCTGCAAAAGGCATCCAGTGTAAGTGTTCTTGCCTGCATTTGCCATATGCCCTTTTCCTTAAACACCCCAACAGTTCATGGCACTCAGTGCTCTGGTCTGGGTGACAAGGTGGGGGTCAGTCAAAGGTTGGACTTGATCTTGGGGGTCTTTCCCAACCTCTGATTTTGTGCTCTCAGGAGCTGAACAGCCCCACGTTCCACGTAACCCAAAGCTCTGCTCTCCCTTCTGAGCCTAAAAATTATTTTTATGCTTCTGTGCTCCTGTTTGAAAAGCTTGGTAGTTTGTGGAGGTTTTTGGCCCCGTGAATTGCTGTCAGTGTTGAGGAAGGCAGTGAATCCCCCTCAAGTGTTTGCTCTTGCCCTGTGGCAGCCGCAGGGTCGGCACCACCTTAAATCTCCCAACTCCCACATTAGTGCCGAGTGTTCTGGGCTCACCCTGAGCTCTTCCTTTGCTGAGGTGATTAAAAGATGCCTGTTGCTGTCTGGATGTGCAGCATGCTTCATTAGCAGTGATTTATTTGGGAGCTGAGTGGAGTTGGCACTCTGCAGCACACCAACGAGCAGCAGGAGAAGGGGACGTGATTCCTGAGTTTTGTTTCTTGCTGCTGCTGCAAAGCTTGGGGGTCTTGGGTGTGTTTTGCAAGTTTTCCTTCGGAATATTCACTAAACTGTGAGTTCATAGAATGCAAATTTATCTACAAAGTATTTTTCACGTTCTGAATGCATCCACATACCTTAGCTTAGGATTTGAATTTCTATTTTGAGGTGTTGTTTTTTTTTTCAGAACTACTAATTATTAAACACCCCAGTGAAATTACTGACAGAGCCATGCCCACTAAATCAGAAAAATTCCCCACAAATATTTGTGCTGCACACATTTTTCTCCCTCCCACCCGACTGCAGTCAGAGCTCTGAGAGTCAACTTTCTTCACCAGAATCCAATTAGGAACAAAGGTGCCTTTCAAAAGCACTTGCAATGGCTGCACTGACAAAAAGGAAGTTAAAAAGACATTTGCACGTGTGTGTTGGCACTGGGTTTTCTAATGGGCTGCACTTCCAAACTGAAGCACAGCAATCTCATTTTCATCTCGGAAAAAATAGCCTGTGTAGTGCTGAAACTATCTGTGCTTCCTTCTGGAAATAAAATACTAAACTTTGCAAGTTTTCAGGCCTCATATTCCCCTTCAGAAGCAGCACAAACTCCCTTGGGATTTTATAGGCAGAAAACATTCAGGGATGGGAAGGATCTTTTCAATTATCTGTCTTTTGCTCAGGCACAAATGTTGCCTTTCCCAAAGTCGTTGCCATAAAAAGTCAATGTGTTTGAACAGTTTTTACAGCTCTGAACAAAGGCCCTGCTGACATGAATAGCAGTGATGTTTACAGGCAAACTTCCTGAGAATTGGACTCATTCACATGTGAAATAGGAACTACCACGAGAAATGGAAATGCAGCCAGAGCTTGAAAACCCCCTTATTTTAACCTTAGGAAAATATTTTTAATGATGATCATCTAATTTACTTTTCACTGCTTTTTGTGCTAAGACAGGTTTCATTTCTCTTTGGGAAAACTTTCTGTAACGTGTTGGTCTGTGTTAGACCCCAGGTACCTGGCATTTTTTCTTTGAAGCACGTGCATGACCATCCAGTGTCTGCTGGTTCTCTGGAGTAATTGTTGAATAACTAAATAACAGGAAAGGCTTTGAGCTTTTACACTGGACTTAAATATGCTGAGTACTGGAAATGTGTATTTATTTCTTGCCCAGAGAAGCTGTGGCTGCCCCTGGATCCTGGAAGTGCCCAAGGCCAGGTTGGACGGGGCTTGGAGCAACCTGGGCTGGTGGGAGGTGTCCCTGCCCAGGGCAGGGGGTGGCACTGGATGGGCTTTGAGGTCCCTTCCAACCCAAACCACCCTGTGATTCTGATTCTAAGATTTTTATGATTCGTCTCCAAGCCTCTGGAAGCACCACCCTCAAAGCCCGTGGAATAAATAGAGGGATTTTGCTTGACTTTGCTCAGATCTGGAGGTTTATATGTTAAGGTTTTTTAAGCAAGAGTCAGATATAATACTCTCCTGCCTGCAGACAGAGCTGGGTGCTGTTGTTGTTAATCCCCAGGGGTGATTTTGGTGGGCCCTGTGGCACATGGGCAGCTCACAGTGGGGTCTGAGGGTGCTTCCCATGGGCTCCTGGCAGCAGGTTCAGTTGATAAGTGCTCTACCTCTTGTGCTTTTAATTAGGGATCAAAGGCTCTGAGCAATTGCTCTGTTTCAGCAGCTGGTTGCACAGAGTGAGGAGAATAATTGTAAAGTATCTCCTTGCAGGGTAATGAAGAGAAGCTTTAGAAGTGACACCATGGGTTTATTGATGGGCATAATTCGTGGGAAAACGAGAACAGGAAAGAATTTCAGCAGCTGCTGGTGAATACAGGATTTATCTCAAATTTCACCTCAGCTGATGTAGAACCAAGAGCAACTTGCTTTGGCAGAAATCTCTTGTGGAGGTGCTGTTGTAACCAATAGAATTTGGTTGGACTCGATGATCTCAGAGGTCTTTTCCAACCTAAATGATTCTGTGAATTTGGTACTTAGAGGAAAAACAGGATTTGTCCATTATATGGGGTAAAAAAGTACATTTCCTGAGTTCACAGAGTGTAACTGCTTAACCATGTCAATCAGTAGAAAGGTCTGGGATGACATTTTCCTCCTCAAATTAATAATTAATACTCTAATCATTCCCCTAAGTTATTAGTTTTCATTGATTGGTCCTTCCTGCTGACCCCCAGCAAGGCTCATCAGTCTGTGTGAGAACAGATGAATATGTGCAATTAATCTCTACCCCTTTCAAAGCTGCACCTTCAGATCAGATTCTTAGTCTTGTCAGTGCATTGAACCTGACTTTATTAGAAGAATCTCACCAATTTTAGCTCACAAAAGCAGGCAGAGCCCTCTCATGATACCCCTTCACATGGTATTAGTCGTGCAGTTTGTCTTGGAAGCACAAAGGTTCCTTAAACTTCCAGCCTTCAGTGGGATGAATAAATTATAAGAATGTGTGTCTGACTTGATTTATTTATTTTTAATATTTAAATACCTGCTCTGGAAAAGGTTCCTTTCATAAAAGAAGGCATTTCCCCCCCTCCCCCCCCCTTGGGTTGCTTGGAGGGGGATGGTGGTACTTTGCAGAGAAGGTCTCGAATTGCCTGCTTACAAATTCTATTTATAAGTTGTAACAGAGTGTGAGGAGAAGATTGGTTTTTACCTGGAGATGTTTTTAGGTTGATTTTTAAAAAGAATTTTAGAGCAGTGAGGATGGGGGAGAAATGGGAAAAACATCCCCCTTCCCTGAGCAGTGTGGGAACATTTCCTATGATGTGCTGTCTTGTAGAGATGATGCTTTTTCCATACTGGATGATGTTTGTAGAGAAAAATTGGAGTAATTCTCATAAAGTTAGAGAATTACTCTAATTTTTCTCTTAACTTGATCTACAGAGCTCACTAATTACACCAGATTGCCCCAGAGAGGCAGGGAGTAAATCTGCTGATTGCAAAATTGAGAGGCACAAGAAATCTCACAACACCCAAGCAGAAGATGCAGACATGGGTTACAATTCTTAACCCTCCTCTGGCACCCAGACCACTTGGATGGTAACAAATCACTCCTCAGATCGATTTTAAATTAAATATTGGAGAATGTTTCTTTGTTGCATTCCACTTGCACCTTTCCTGGAAAGGAAAAACAAACTGGAAAAAAACCAGAAGGAGCAGCAATCCTAACTCTCCTGGGAATCTCTCTTTTCTCTTGCAGACTAAAGGTGGCCTAAAATTTCCCAGGAGCCCCATTCTCTGCTGGAATTAGTGGACTGGTCTCCTCTGAGCTGGGCAGCTGAAGATGAGGTTGCTGTGGGAGCTGCTGGTGCTGCAGTCGCTCATGGTGTGCCTTGCAGGTGAGGGGTCGCCTTTAAACTTTGGATTTAAGAACCCCAGTGCGTTCCACACTGGTGGGATGTGTCTGCCAGGGATAAAAGGGCAAAACAAGGCCCTGTTTCACAGCCAGTGTTGTGGGATGTGCTCAGTGGATCGAGCTGATGCTCCTTCTCCCGGGGATCAGTGTCTCTCATCCCAAGTACAACCTTTCAAAGGACTGCTCTGCCCCTTTCTGCTTGAAAGTTGCTGTTGATGGAAGTTGTTTTCCTGTGTTCTGTGTTAAGTGTTTTCACTGCTCAATTAAACCTTTGTGGAGTGTGGCTTTAAATCCCATTAAAAGGGTGTTGTGCTGCAGCTCAGCCCTCGCTCCATTTAACAAATAATTAGAATGACATATTTCAGCAGTGTAACCATCCCCTGCAGCTGCCCTTGTTTAACCTTTGCAGCCCCCAAAGTTGCAATGTTCTGAGCGTTCCCAGGGAAGGGAAGTTTCTAAGGAATGTGCCTTTTTTCCTGGAGCTGGAACGGTTCTTGAAGAACATTTTGGATTTGCAGAGGGTTGGCAAAGCTTGTTCCAAAGCCCTGTTGACCTTGACATGGGCAAGGAGTTGATTGTAGGGAACTCTAGACCATACCAGGCTGTCAGAGGCTGTTTTGAGTCTTTCTCTCCTTGCTGTTCCCTTATCCTTGATTATTTCCTCCTTAAACTGGCATTATTATTCTTTAACGTGTATTTTGTTCTGAGAGAAGGTTTAAAGTTTTAATTACTGTTTATATCACCTGGATTGCTCTAATTTATCTGCTGCTTGCTCAGAATGTTTTACTGCTTTGTTTAGTGGCTTCTGCTTTCTTCCCTGTTATGTATGTGCTCACTGTCAGGGTACTTTTTCAGCATTTTAGGTAATAGCAGACTACTTAAAATGGTGTTTACTTTCTTCTGCTGAGCTCCACTGAACATAAAGCCACTTTTATTCCGGTACTTAGGGGTACCTATTTTAGAAATTTGGTTCCAAGTCTTTCTAAATGTGCTTTGACAGTTTCTGAGCTGGCAGAAAATTGGATGCAGAGAGATTCTGCAATGCAGAGCCCACACGTGTTTCAGGAATTGCAACCTTAGGGAAGTCGGGCTGTGGGAATGCATCGACTGTGAGCCTTTATTTCAAGCAAATAAACAAAATAGTGGAAAAACAAAAGCATGAAAAAAGACTTTTTACTGTAATTTCCAGACTTAAAATATTTATTGCAAAATGGCCAGGGTCAGCAAAATAAAGTTTCAGGAGGATGTGTTGGGGAGGGTTGTCCTTATCTTTCCCATCTGTTATTTATAAAAATGCATCTCATCAGCGCTGGCTTTTCCCACACCATTCAGCAACAGCATTTTTCTCCTCTTTGCAGTGTCTTCAGGCTTCAGATTCTCTGTCCTGCTGAGGGAGATTTAGAGATTTGTGGGGAAAGAAGTGCCCAAAGTTTTGTGCAAGTTTTCTCTTCAGTGATGAGTGAGGAAGTTGTTTCCTTTTGCTTTTCCATTTGGGCACAGTTAGTAGGGGATGCTCTTGCTTTGCTTCCCAAGCTGTGTTTTGTGTGTGCTGTTATGAACACACACATCTGGCTGCTGAACAGTCTGAAGTTAAGGAGGAATCTTATGTTTCCATGTTGATCTCTTGATGCACCTTTGTGAAAAAAAATATTAATAAATTAATTATGCAAAGGGAAAAAAGGTCAAAATAGTGTGCAGAAAGTTGTCTAACAAATCTTTATAGTGCTTTGTGGACCCTTAAAAGACTGGGAAACTTAACTGTTGAGTTACCTGCAAAAAAAAAGGTTCAATCTGAAAATTGAATACCTTTATTTGGTTCTAAGCAGTGTCAGACACGCAGATATCACCCTTGTCTTTGCCTCTGCTGCAAAGAGCAGCACAGCTGGGGGAGGATGAGTTTTTTGGGGTGTTGCCCTGACAAAGCCCTGTGGAAGTGAGTGGTCCCAGCATCCCTGTGCCCCTTCAGGGACAACTGGTGGGCTCCAGCTGCCACCAGTCCCATCACTACTTGGGCTCTTTTTTTAGTGTGTGTGTTTCCTAAGTGAACATCTGCTCACTAGAAATTGCATAAAACTAAAGGTCTTTCTGAGCCATCACCCAAGCTGGGACCATCTTTGTCAGACTGTTTTTCCTTGTTGTTTTGAGGTTGTACTGCTAAAAATTACTGTTGCTTTCTTTGGACTTAATATTTGATGTCTATCAATTATGGGGTTCTGATTACATTTTCAGAAGTTTTGTTTAGGTGCCAAATTGCCCTGATTAGTTCAGGCTCTCAGCTTCCTTAAATAGCAGCTGTGGTGCTGATAATTCCTGAGTTTTGGAGATAGGACGAGAGGTGGAACAGGCTGTGAAAAGTAACACAAAGCTCTTCAAGTCGTGACCTTGTTAAGAAATGCTCTCCCTTGGGCAGCCCCACATATCCCAAAAAGCATTTGTGTACAGCCTGGGAACAGGGATGGAAACAAAAGCCACTACACAGGATGAGCCAAAGCAGCCACACTGATGAAGATGTGGCATAGTCTGTGGGCCTGGAATGTGCTGGACAAGTATGAAAGGAAATTTTCTGTGTTTTCCTGACTTTTGTGCCATCCTTTGCCTCATTAACTTCCTGGAGCAGGGAGTCTCAGTGCTGAAGTCATATTTGCATGTTAATGAGCTGCAGTCACACAGACATATTAATGTCTGAGTGTGCATATGCATATTTTAGAAGGGAATTTAACCCCAAAGATCCCCTCACGTTTTACAGTGGTGTTGGGTTTTAAACTGGGCTTAAACCACAACTAAGCACCACGAGGCCACTCGCTCACCTCACCCCCACTCCGGTGCAGTGGGGAGGAGAATCAAAAATAACACTTGTAGGTTGAGATAGGAGTGGTTTAATAAATGAAACAAGGTAAAAAAGTGTAGTAAGAGTAAATTATAATAATGATAATGAAAAGTTCAAGTGATGTGCAGTAAAATTGCTCATCACCCACTGAACGATGCCAGACCTCGTCCCCCAACCCCAATCTGCCCCTTTCAGGTGATTCTCCTAGTTTATATATTTATATATATAAATATATAATATTTATATATGACTGGAATATCCCTGTGGCCAGTTTGGGTCACCTGTCCTGGCTGTTCTCCCTTCTATCTTTTTTTTTTTTCTGTGCTCCTCCTCACTGACAGAGCCTGAGACACAAAAAAAGTCCTTGACTTTGGATAAACACCACTTGGCAACAAGCAAAGCATTGGTGTGTTCTCAACATTATTCTCTTCCTGAATCCAAACCACAGCACTGCACCAGCTACTGAGGGCAGATTAACTCTATCCCAGCCAAACCCAGGACAGACAGAAGACAAAAAAAGAACCTTTTGTAGCTTTTTGGAAGTGTTTCTGCTCTGCTGTGGGTGTGATTGGGGTCTGCCTTGCTCTCCTGCCCTCCCTGATCTCCATCTCAGCTTTTCTTTGGATGTTTTGCTTTCTGCCTTCTGCTTGTTCTTGCTGTTTAAAAAGGAAGATCTGTGCTCACAACAAATAAACCAGCCTACAAGACAGCCCTTCTTTTTCTCTTAGTGAGCACCATGTAAACACAGTGTCTTCACTAAATGAATTTGTCCTGTAGCTCTGTAATAATGCTGCTGTTTCTACAAGTTTTGTCAGAGAGGAAGTGCTGTTGCAGCTCAAACACAGACTCTTAGTGTTTGTTTTACCCTGATTTGAATGAATAAGGAAACACTGTTCTTTCTCTCTGCTAAATTGGCTTTATAGTGAACCCCCCAGCTGTGTAAACCTCTGTTTTCTAATAGGTTAAATGGGCTGCACAAAGATTACTGGAATTTTTTTGGTGGAATGTGGAAGGTGATCCTGAAGGTTAGAAGTCCCTCTGTTGCTCCCTCAAGAGTGGTTTGTAGGTCACTCTGCAATTCCAGTGCTTGTCTACACCCCACTGTGTGAAAAACTGGAGTTTCACAGTGCTCCAGGTATCCAGAATTTAGATATTTGCCCAATTACCTCTCACAGCTTGAAAAGTAAGAGGAATTAATATGGAGAAGCCCACATGTGCAAAGTTTATTCCTTATTTCAGCTGTAAGAACAGGGGTTAAGTGGGTTTTATGGGTGGGATTTTGACCAGCTGTCAGTGCAGGGGAGCCTGTCACTGGTGTCGTGGTATCCCAGCAACACCCACCCTTAATTCCTCAAATCCAGGAGCAGCAGAATATTTTTCAGTATCAAAGTTATATTTTTGAATAAGGTGGAGTAAAAGCATCGCTTCACCTCTTATCTCCTGAAAAATGCCTTTTTTAAATGGGTGAAGATGCACATGATGGCAGAAGTCAGAAAACAAAGAGAAATATCTCTGTAGAGCTTATATTCAATGCAGGTTTGTTGGGAGGGGTTTTTGTGGTTGTGGGTTTTTTTTCCCCAAAACTGTTTTTTACAGGAAAATATTCTTAGAAATGCCTGTCCAGGCATTCTTTCTCCTTTTGTCACATGCTGATACAGCATAACCAATACCTCAGCAGTGGTCTAGAACAGAATATTTAGAGCATGGCTATGTAATTCATGGGCAGAAAGACCAATATATAGTCAAATATTTTCCATCGTGAGGCACAAAAATCGCCATCATTTCTATCAATATATTCCAATGAAATCAGACATTTGAGTCTGTTAAAAATTAAAACTCAAATTCATAGGAAGGAGGAGTATTCACAGGCCTGTTTGAACTCCTGCTTCTATCCAAGCAGCTGTAGGTTACATAGAAAAGAAATTCAGCTAATTTCATGTCTGAATATAAATAATGAAAGCCAGAAGAACTGTTGTACATATTAAATGATGGTCTCCTATAAACGGTGCCGCAGTTCAATTTGTTCAGCATTTTTTTCCCGGTGCCGTGTAGTTCCCACGGCTGGTGCTTTGATGTTACTGGGCAGCTGCAAAATGATTAATCTGTTGCAGCCCCATAATTAATTAATTTATATTTTGGTCAGTTCTGCAGCGCTT